GTGACAGAACGTGGTCTAGGAGAGGTGGCAGAAGGACAAAACTTATTGAGAGCTGCAAGGGATAAAGGGAGCGGGAGAGCCATGATAGGCTATGTCCTGAAAGAACATGACACATAGAAAAAAAAAACTAGATTGTAGATTGATTTGATCTGGTGCTTCTGCTGTACATCAAGATACTTCGAAGAAGATGTAATCGATCATGACCAAGCATCTCTGCTTTAGTCATTTTCTCGCTAACGTGGGGTGGCTTCCATCTGTCTTTTTACGAATATTTTCATGCAAAGTGTTTTGATGACCCGCCCCTCTACCGAATTCATAGATTTAAGCGTCCTCCGAAATTGGTAACTAGGTCTCACTGTTTTACTGTTGAACTATCTAAATGAAATTCCCCTTGTATTCAAACTTTATTTTCTTGCACTTCTCACATGTAGAACTCCCTTCCGATATCTTGCTTCCCAGATAACTAAAATCTTCAGAAATTTAAATGTAACGTCAATCGCCATCATCTGTCATGAATCCCCTTCCATTTTTGTCCTTTACTCAATCCTCCCTACTAAAGTCTTCTCATTCTCTTTCACGCCCAGTAGCCGCTTGTACATTACTTTACCTTGCTTGGGGTGAAATCTTATTATAAAACGCAGATTGTGTGTGTGTGTGTGTGTGTGTGTGTGTGTGTGTGTGTGTACGTTTATATATTGGATCGGATTTCCTACATTGCGGTGGTTCTGACAGCGCCAAAAATTGGAAAAAAAACAATTGTTTTTGCACGAAATCAATTTGAAAACACGATTAAGAGGCATTAATGGAAGGGGAACAACTCATATCGAGTTATACTTATTAATATCGAGTTATACTTATTATAAAACTCAGGTTGGTTGTGTGTGTGTGTGTGTGTTCGTTTATATATCGGATCGGATTTCCTACATTTTTCAACCGATTTCAACAAAACTTCACTTTTGGCAGGTAGTGTTTCTTATTGTCTTGCAAACTTTTTTCTTTATTTTAAATTCAGAATGCTTTAAAAATTCCATTTACAAGACAATTGTTTATAATAAAATTCTATTCAATCGGTAGACTCATAACGATTGAAAACAATGTTTTTGTTCGAGTTTGGGTTTGACCAATTCGTAAAAAAAAAAAATCTAATTAAGACATCCGTCAACCATAAACAATAATCTTTGTCAATTTTATTTTTCAGTCTTTATGATGGTCGATACTTGATCTATCTCTTACTGTTACATCCCCGGGAAACGCCGGGCTCTACTGCTAGTAATAAAATAAAATAAAAGGCAAACATGAATTAGTGTGCCCGCAATAAAAACGACGTGTCAAAAGGATGTTTTTTTTCCCCAAGACAACACTGTTATTTTCACTCCCCGATAATGTTTATTGTAAAAAACGATGATTAGAATTGTAATGAAATCTAAACATACGATGCAAGTGAATGCTTTTCCTTTTTGTGAATTCACAAAAATTAAAAACTATTCGTTTATTAGATTGTTTATTCATAAGAATAAGTTGACATTTATAACATTTTAAAAAAAACTTATTGCAATTAGAACTAATGCAATATTTATTATTTACCAATTTATAAACAAATAAATGTGAAAGCAATTTTTATTCATAAATTTATAAACATTTACTAAATTATTAAAATATGCGAACTAATTATAACGAAATCATTATTTACCATTTTGTCAAGTTTGAATCAATTGGCCGATTTTTTTTTTACCAACCATTCCGATAAATGTAAATAGCGTAAATAAACAATCTAATAAATAGTATTTAATATTTTGTTATCATTTCTCAAGCACATAGAAAAGTATAAATTCACTTTCATCATATGTTTAAGTTTTATTAAAATTCTAATCATCGATTTTTAAAATACAGATTGCCAAAAAATAAAGGAAATTAAAAAAAAAATGTGTATCATGCGCAAACCGTTAATTTCTCGTTCCATCTTATGGCACGTTTATCCACGTTTTCTAAAAATTAAAAAAATATATCTATTACTATACCGGTCTCATTTACTTGAATTGGTAAATATAACAGTAAGTTCTATTCTAATAGTGTCAACCTCTCGAACCCTTCAAGCTTGCCTGTTAACTATAAAAATTTAAATTAAACATCAATAATATCCTTTCGATTCTGTTCTTTTTAATTGTGTTTTCTCATCCAAAATCTTTTCTCAGCTTTCTTCACTCTTGCCTTTCATCTTCACTAATCCTTCCGTATCAGTGGCTATCGACTTGAATGGAGCGAAATGTTTTTTTGTTTTTTTTTTTTTTAAAAAAAAACAAACAAAAAAAACAAAAAAATTAACATTGAAACCAGCATTTGAGTTCAAATTTGTTCAGTTTTTCAGATTTAGTGAGAGATGAAGACGTGAATGCCAATTTTATGTTGATGTCAAATTATAATTGAAACCAAACAGCATTGAAAAGGCTGTTCCAAAGTTTCAAAACAGGCGATTGCCACGCGTGGAAGGCAGATTTATTATCAGGCCAAAGTTTAATCAAAATGAAATTTCGTCAAGGTTTTATTTCAGCTCTGCTATTCTCGCCATGCATTTAAAAGTTTAGATTCGCTGTAGTCAAAAAAAAAAAAATATTCAAATAAAAAGTTTTAGAGTCCTGAAAAGTGTGGGGCCGACATTTATCAATAGCTTTTCCAAGTTTGAATCATTCCGTTGACACCTTACATAGTATGGCTATCTCAAGTCTCAATCTGGTTCTAAAGTCCAGTTGAAAATCTACACAGTACGGGGCCAGAGCTCTCAGTAACACTAAGCGTGATAGCTTTGTAACAGAATGGAGTTGCCAGCCGCGTGCTCATCCGGTTTTGAATTTGTTAACCACGGCTAAAAAATCTGGTGTTTCCTACTGTTTTACCCCGTACCTGGGAGAGAAGATACAGATTAATGTTTCCCCAAGGGTTTTTGCTCGTAAGTGAATGAAATGAACCAGACTTGAATTTGATCTCCGATTTCTCTTTCCGAACCCTTATCTCGTACATTGCCCGTACATCCAAGCTTGAGTATACAAATAACTTAGTTTATCTATGCAAAAGAAGGAAAATTGTTTCGATATTAGAATGTAATTTCAAAGACTTCTAAGCCATTTACAAATTCATCACAAAGCACATATGTAGAAAAAAATTTAATGCTAGTCTGACAAAATTTTTAAGTGAATAAAAGTTTTGAGCAATCAGAAACAGAGTTTAAATATATAGGACATATGAGGAAAGAAGGCTTGGAGAATATATCACTCAGAGGGCGTAATGAAGGCAAAGGAAAGGATTCTGCATGTCAAGTCTGCGTAAATAGGATAGAGAAACGAGAGGGAGAATATAGAAGTACTGCTGGAAAGTACAAAATAGAGGAAGTTAAGGAGAGCCATGAACATCTGTGCCTACAAGTTACGTGAAATATAATTTAAAAACATGTAATTGTAAGCTACCGTAGAGGTGCTATTTTTTAATATCAATATCACAGGCCTATCCTCTCATTCAGTGATGTTTTCATTCTATAACAGCTATCTTTCGACAAAGTCGGCTGGCAGAATTTCTAAATACTCGAGTTTATTTTTCTATCGTTTTCAGGAAATTTTAGAATAGGTATTGCGCCTAGAAGTAATTTCTCAATGTTTGTTTTCATATTACTGTAAATAAAGCAGATCAGATAACGAATATGTTTTTTAATAAAATGTAACATGAGAGGGTGTTAGTACTCTATAAATCATGTACCTAAAGAAGATCAAAAATGCCCACGCTCCGTTTCAAACATTTTATTTATTTTTCAAATCTTTGTTTTCATATTACTATCTATTAAGCACTCCATTCTAGAAATTAATTTTTTTTTTAAATTTAAGAAATTACGTAGTATGAGCATATTTTATTGTTTTCCGTAGTGTCATCCATATACAAGAAGTTTCAATAGCAAATAAGACCTTTAATATTTTGATATTCATAATCTGGGGTGCTTACGCTATAGTTATAAAGACATTTGAAAAAAATATTTCTGGTTGCCTTGCTTACTTTAGAACTTTCCTAGTTTTCAGTGGATAACAAATAGAATTAATAGCGAAATTTGAACAAAACGGTTTATGTCCGAATTTCTGAAGTTATCTTTTACAGGCGTCCATATGTTTTTGTTGGAGGGAAAATGGTAATCAACCCCTGTGGAATGAAGTAGTAATATTGGACAGAAAGAAACACTGAGAATCAGATGTTTGAAAGAATCAGCGCATATACTAGGCTATAAAGACCTCCTTAGTATGATCTAGCATAGAAATAAATACAATATGAGGAGATATTAATGAAGAGAAGGGACAGCAAGGCTTCATAAGCAGCAGTAGTAAAAACTGATGCTTATATGAGTAGAGTCAAGCGTGACCAGTATTAATAGTAGCTGCCCTCATTAGCAGATAAGTTAGGTTTAAGGCTCCAAGTTCTTCACATAGAATAGTCTAATGGGTTAAGGTCGATTTGGTGATATACTAATTGCAAGTTCAGATGATGGGTCGAGTAGGGTGTACTTGAACTCAGTGGAAACAGAGCCAGCAATAATTGAGCAGGGTTAAATAAGAACTAAGTATATCCCAGCTCAGTGGAACGAGGATAATCTATCTATATATAATATTTAATCTATAGATTAACTAGAGGAGCCAGTTCGTAATTCCCTGAAATTTTAGCGCATTGACCTGATGAAGGCCGGAGGTTATAACAGCCAAAACATGGCTTTGATTGAATTTTTGTTTTTATGGCTTATTTACAGGGTTTTTTTGACGACAGAAAATATTTTTACATTGTATTTTTTGTGGGGAGTGGGGAGATATGACGATTTATTGATATCTATTCTGGTAATACTTGTTAGAACAGTGGGATGCAAGCCTTTCTTAAGAGTATTTGTGCGTGATATGACGAGCCTGATTGGAATTCGAACTTGCTTCTCCGATTTCCAATTCCGTAACGTTATCCATTACACCACCCGTACATGCAAGCTTACGACACCTGGTATTCCCAAGTGGTCACCCATCTAGGAATTGACCAGGATCGGTTTTGCTTAACTTCAGTGATCGTACGGAAAAGGGTATTTCAACGTGATGTGACGGGAAGCCTCCGAAAACATTGTGATAACAAAAAAGCGAATAATAATCTGCGTGTAAATAATCTAAATAAAACGGTTTAAATTTGCATAATTCAGGACTTCATTTAATTTTCCCGCCCACATCTACCAATCCACAGAAAGTGAAAAAAAGATAGTATTTTTTTTAATTAGTACGAACTCTTGGTGTGTGTTGGTAGCTTATTTTGCTTTAATAAACCGTAGTTTCGGCTCAAAGTTTGCGAAAACACTTAGGCGGGAAAAATAGTTAAAAAAAAAACAAAAAAAAAAACTATTCCATGCACCAGGTGTACAAATTGTCTAGAACACTGAAGTGCATATAATTCAATAGTCATGATTAAATTCTGTTTTTCAACAGAAGTAAAAAGAATTTTACAAAGTATCAAAGTGAACTCTTAGCAGATTTAAAAGCTCGAATTTAAGTCATTCCACGTTTAACCTATTCTTCATTGGACTATGTTCCTTCAGGACATAGGTGGTCACGGCTGGCCATAATTTCCATTTCCTTGTAGTCCTTAACACATTTTATCCATTTACTAAGCTTCCTGCACCTGTTCCGCCATTCATCCAAGCTAGTCAGGTAAGTGGCTCGCTGCACTTCCCCAACTCACACATAACCCTAATGAGGATGTGTGAAAAAAAAAATACTTATACTCAAAACCAGGAGAATACAGCTGAAATTCCTTGGACGCGTACTGAGGGAAATCTTGGAAATGAGGAAGTTTTCCAAGATTTCCCTCAATCGCAATCAATTTCAACTGTCTTTCTGGTTTTGAGTATAAGCCTTTCAGTACCATTCCTCTAAGACTTGTTGCTTACGCGCTACGACCGTGGAATTTTCAGTATCCTTCTGTAGAACTACATTTCTACTGCCTCTAAATTTCTCATATATATATATATATATATATATATATATATATATATATATATATATATATATATATATAAATATACTAATTTAAAATATCATTGGGGTTTGTATAACAAAGGAATAGGTTGTTAGCCAACTGCACAAACCCCAGCATGAAAAATCAGTTGCCCTTCTCCCAGACCAGTTGCCACCCAATTCTATAGAACCCTGTCTGTCCTGCTATTTACCCATAGCTTGGGGGGGAGAAAAGGTATTAGCACGTAAGTGGATGTAAGTGATTCGACTGAAATTCGAATTGAACCACTATCCATTACTCCACCGTGCCTCCTCTAGTGCTACATAAGAGGACGGATAACACATAGCAATCCAGCATTCTTTGATTTTAACGAATGTTTTCAGTTTCTTAGAAACTTGCTTAAGTCTTGGAATGCTTCTTTCGTTAGTCTAATACGTATTCGGATTTCGGTCTCATGTTTCTCACCATCTTTTAAAACATATCCCAGATATTTAATCTTCTTTACCTGCTTGATGTTGATATCTCGATTCAGCAACTCTTCTTTTGCTGATCAGAATTTTTCTACTTGCAATTAATGGTTAGTCTTTTTTCTCGCTTTCTTTTACTACTGTTACTAGGGGAGGTCCTGTAGATTTATTTACGAGTCAGCCATCAACAGAGTGTCATCTGCGTATCTTATATCGTTGAGATTACGCTCGCCGATAATAAATCCTGGTAGGGTGACCAGTTAGCTAAGGATAGCGTCGCTGTAGAGGTTGAATAAATCTGGAGAAAAGACATCATTGTTTCACAGCCATTTTCTATTTTCTTGCTTCCAGGATATGTTCTGGGTTATCTTAATATCTTTTCCGAATAGAATGATTTCTTCTCTCCGTTCAAATCGATGTTTGTCTTATGATAGAAATATTCTAGTAAAATTTACAATAGCGCTAATGCGGCTGATTAAAGTGTATTTTAATTAGGCTACTTTCTAAGTTTAGGGCTTGTTTAGTCAGCAATCGGTTTCGATAGAAATAAGGAACCTGGGACAATGTTTCTGAATAAATTTAGTTCCCAGGCATTGAACATATTTATCTGGAAAAGAATGGGAAGGAAACTTATACAACTGAGTGTGTGTAAAAAAAAAAAAAAAAAAAACTAAAAAACTTGCTCTTAAAATTTACAATGATTTAAGAGAGAAAAAAAAACAAATTAAATCAAACTAAATTAACTATTTTAAAACCAATTTCCTAGAACTAATACCCGACATTAGTTTCTAAAGGTAAAAATTTCGCCCGTTGTATACTCAGAGCATACTCCCTAGGGTGGACACTTAAAGAAAACAAGATCGCAATATCACAAGTAATTAACCGATCAAAGATCCTCTCCTATAGGAAGAGAATGAGAATCTAACTCTGTTCCATAGACTGAATAAAGGGTTCGTTTGAAGTACTCGAAAGGTTAATTATGACAATCACTATAAGAGGATAAAACGGCCAAAATAGTGAAGCCGAAGACCATATTTCAATAATAAAAAAATGCATTATGGTCATAATTGTAACAATCACCTATTTAAAGGATCTCTCCAAAAATTAGTCAAGTTAAAACACTTGAAATGTTCACCCTCAACGTCCAGAATAAATGAATTTTCTTACCCCTTTTGATATCAACCATTGTCTTAGTGATTTTTCGTTGCCGGTCGAAGAATGAAATAATTCCCAAAAGCATATTAAAAGAGGCACAACTGACAAGATGAACTCAAAGACAAAATGATAAAGCCTATTCTGTATTATTAAAACGTCGGATTATATATCTTTAAAAGAGTAACTGCAAATTCACTTGTTGGTGCTGAAATGTGACGTCACAGAAACGCTCAGAGAGTTGCCAAGTCTCGTATTCAGGCAAATGTGAGTTTTCTTTTAACTGATTATTCAACCCTAGTTTAATTAAGTAATTAGCTGCTTTAAGAATGTATTTTTCCTCATTCCTTCTATCTGCGAGATGCTTCATATTCTTTGTTTATTTCCGTGATATCATGTCACTCACTACGGACGGCACTATTTGAATTGTACCAAAGTGTTTTATTTCATCTCGAAGCGAAAAATTAGATATCTAGTTCTGAATACTTGCAGAACACCGCTAGAAAACTTATAGTATCGGTGGTGCAGTAAAAATAATTCTAAGTAATATTTTCCCAGTTGCCTAAATTATTAAAAAAGATGAAATTTTAGAGCCAAGTAATTTATTAATACAGTGTTACCCGGATATAAGAGAGTTGTCGGGACCGGAGAAGTCTCTTATATCCGGGTTTCTCTTATATCTGGGTTTGGTCTATTATATATACATTAACACAGGCTCTAATTTGGAACCAGAGAAAATCTCTCTTAAATCCGAGTTACATTGTATGATGTAATGGAATAACTATTCACCCCCATGAATAATTATACTATAGATATTAAGTACCTATAAAGTCAACTGTTTACAAGAGACTGAGGGAGAGGAAGAGTGGGGGAGAGACGACGCAAGCACGTCAGACTTTCCAATTAGTGGCAGTCACTACTAGATTGACCTATGTGTATAATTTCATATTGTCTTGTGTACAATAAACCTTCTTCTAGTATCCACTTGGTGTTATGTGTCTATTCCTTTAGCACGGAATATAACAGTGGCGACGAGGATGTTTGAAAAGAACTCACACGAAATATAACATAATATTAAATAACTTTCTTTATAAATTGAATGCCGAGTTTGTTTGAAACAGAAAAAAATTTCTTCTAATGGTAAATGTATTCTAATTATATTGTATTTTATGGGGGAAATATATGACAAACAAGAAAAGATTTTCGTGTGACGCGTTTTGTTCATTATGACTTAATCAGACTAAGTTTATGTTTAGGAAGTACTTTAATCATTTACAGTAAATTTACTGACCGGTTCTTAGGTTTTATCTTTCTTGGTAGATCTTCCATTATCACAATATGTGGTCTTCAATAAAAAAAAAAGTAAATGGAAACAAAAAAAAAAAAGCATCTAAATTAAATCGGGTAGGTTATATGCCAAAAATATTAAAATTAAAAGAAAATATTTTTAAACTTAAAATTCTCACAGTCTCTTAAACTTATTCTGATGAAGTCCTAAAGGTCAAAACGCGTCGCACGAAAACTTTTCCACTTTCGTATTTCTTCCCGTGAAAATTGTTATCGATATATAAAAATAAAATTATATAGCGATATCTAACTGACTGGTATTTCATATAGTTTATCAAAACTACATACAAAATCTTTAAGAAGAAATTAAGCAACGTTTTTCTATAACTAAAACGTAAGAGCCGTGAATATAAGGTTGAATCATAATTTGTTTTTTGGAAAGCAATTTTAATAACGAATTTATCATCCCAACTGCTATTCATACATGACAGTTAATACATTTGGTGTACACTAACATAATATTTATGGCAAAAGAAAATGGAATGACAAGGATATGTCTTCATAACTGACCCCAAAAGATGAGCTCCATAGAAATAAAAAGCTAATCTTGTGCTGGGATCGTCGGGGTATTATTCATTTAAAATACATTGAAACATCAAAAGTACATTTATACGTCCAGCAGCTGCAACCTACCCGAAAATGTTGTGGGAAAAAATTTATATATATATATATATATATGTGTGTGTGTGTGTGTGTGTGTTTAATTTTAATATCTATACTCGACTGGTATCAAATCCCGGATAATGCAATTTTCAAATAAAAATATTTTAAACAAAACTGGTATCTGAGAGAAAATACTAAAAGCCTCTGAGTAGGTCGGAAAAGAAAAAAAAACAGTCGAGTAAAATAAGAAAAAGTCAAGTGCTCATTACACTAAGTAGAGCAGAGCGTAACAAATCCTAGAAAGCCAGAATCTACCTACCTAGGTTTCACCTAAATGCATCTTCAGGGCGGAAAATATATATATATATATATATATATATATATATATATAGTGTGTATGTGTGCGTTATATAAACATACACGCAAAAATCGCTGCGTGAAAAGGACGGTTTTTCTCTTGAAACGGCTATTAAAGTATACGTCTGTATTTTTTTTTTTGTTTGAAAAAGTTTTTTTTTT